TATATATAAATATATAAATATAAAAATAAATATATACAGGTATATATATATATATATATATATATATATATACACACACACACACACTTTAGTCGATTATGAAACTTTCCTCACTTTTTGGCTTTTAAACTGTTCTACACTTATTCTAGAAGTATTTGATGACCTCATCGAGCGCAGTGGAGCCTCTGATTGGTCGGTTTGTTTTTGCAGCACTAAATCCTGTTGAATAATAAAAGTCTGAACACAGATCAGTTCTGACGGACGACACACAAAATAGTGTTCATAACCACACACACAGCCTTCTGTCTAATTACTCTGTAATCTACAATGAGCGACTTTTTTAACGAGTAAAGCATAACATTAAATCTGCGTTAAAGCTCATCTGCAGCCGTATAAAATCAAGCGTAATTATAGCGAGGCTGACGCAACACACAATGAAGCGTTTAGCAGCAAGTGATTGTAATGTCTGTAAATGACCGTCCTAAAATCTCTAATTTTAGAGGGAGAATGAAGCTGCAACCACAGAGGAGAAAATCACGAGCATTACTGCCAGCATAAAGTCATCATCAGTCAAAAATGCCCTGAGTGAGCAGTGAGAACCAGCAGAGGGAGACGCCACACTGAAGCCAGGCTGTTTGACTGCATTTAACCCAGAATCCCTTCTTTTATATCCAGAATAGCATGCTTTCTGTACTCTTTCTGTAATATAAAGGGAGAAATACGTAGTATGAATCCTACATTAAAATTTTAAGATTCATGTAATTGAATTGCATATAAAATTTCCATGCATTTGGATTATACGGTTTTAATATAAACTAATAAACTTAATGTGATGCACATTTGTCAGTCACACATAAATGAAGCAGGTCAGATTTATGAAATCAGTTTTATTCTCATACATTCTGACTAATTGAATATTGCTTTTTCCACAGGTATTACCATATTTTATGGCATGACATGTTCGTACTGTTTAACTGAATAAATGTAATTGTTTTCACAATGAACAGATTTATGCAGATTCTAAGCTATTTTAATGAATATTTAAGAAAAGAATGATTAAAAATATAAAATATAATATTAAACACACGCAAATATATATACATACATCGCAAATTAATCGCACATCAAATTTGGCTGAGAAATTACTATAAAATACAAAAAGGAAAAATATAAACATAATAAAAAAAAAACATTAATTCAAATCAAATAGATGCCAAATTCATATAAAAATTATATGGAAATTATGTAAATGTATTAAATAAAATGATTACAAATATAAATATATGATTATTTATATAAAATCTAACAGTTAATGCAAACAGTTATTAAAAATAGTCATGATTTATTTGAGTGCAGAAATCTGACCTGGTTTTATTTATGCGTGAATGACAAATATGCATCACATTAAGTTTTATTAAATTAGTTTATGTTAAATCTGTGTAATCACAAATGGATTTTATATGCATTTGAAATAGTATGGAAGATTACAATTAGTGCATCCTAGATCATTAGCGTGTGTTCATTACACATATGTATATATGTTTGTTCATTTGTGGTTCTGTAAATTTAGACTTTTCTCCAATTATGGAGTATGGAAAAATATTCCATAATTCCATCTTTAAAGGGATAGTTCACCCAAAAATTAAAATTTGATGTGTATCTGCTTACCCCCAGGGCATCCAAGATGTAGGTGACTTTGTTTCTTCAGTAGAACACAAACGGAGATTTTTATCTCAAACCGTTGCAGTCTGTCAGTCATATAATGGAGGTGAATGGGAATCACGGCTTTGAGAGTCAAAAAAACATACACAAACAAAACCAAATTAAACCCTGCGGGTAAATCTCTCAAATGGACCATTGACACTCTATCTACAATCTCAATTAGGAGTGTCAATGGTCCATTTGAGAGATAGGTGGCGGTAATGCACTTATAAGTCTGCGATCTGCCGTAAAGCAAGAAGAAGAAGAAGTCGCGTCACACGGCGGCTGTTGAGGACGCGCTCAGGACGGTTCAGACATTGCGGTGAATCAGAGGTAAAAAAACAATATAAATACTGTTCAGTTTCTTGCACAGACCGATCGTTTCGTGTCTTTACACATCAATGTATCGTCACGAGCCGCAGGGTTTAATTTGGTTTTGTTTGTGCATGTTTTTTTGACTCTCAAAGCCGTGATTCCCATTCACCTCCATTATATGACTGACAGACTGCAACGGTTTGAGTTAAAAATCTCCGTTTGTGTTCTACTGAAGAAACAAAGTCACCTACATCTTGGATGCCCTGGAGGTAAGCAGATAAACATCAAATTATCATTTTTGGGTGAACTATCCCTTTAACACCTGAAATCACAATTCTTGCATGGATATGGGCCGGATTCACTTGTGATTAAACTCTGTGCTGACACGCATCCGAAATCTGAATCCCTGCTGGGAATCTGGGAATGAGCCAAAACAACACAGAAAGACGGACGGATGAAGCGGCTGCAGCGATAAGGAAACTTTGGCGCAACGTGACCGATTTCCATGACGATGTTTTTCACGTTTGAGCAGTTCAGTTATCCTGATCCCACCCAATCCAGGCATTCCGGTGCCAACTGTTGATCTGAATCTGGGCAAGAACCAGTGTCACAGAACAGCCCGTTATCATTAGACCCGGAGATCCAGCGCTGGAGGAATGAAGCGCATTAGGGATGTGCATTAATCTGTTCACTGCTCTTACTGGACATTATCAAGCCAAATTCATATTCTGGAACATTAATGCATGTTTAAGCGTTTGCTCTCTGGGAATATTTAGCCATACTATTCCAAACGTTTGGAATATTATGAGTATCTTAAATGTTTTTGAAAGAAGTATCTTCTGTTCACAGAGGCTGCATTTATTTTACAAAAAAAAACCCCCACACGATCCTTCAGAAATCATTCTAATATTTATAATGTTACAAAAGATTTCTATTTCAAATAAATGCTGTTCTTTTGAACTTTCTATTCATCTGTGAATCCTGAAAAATATAATGTGTCACGATTTCCACAAAAATATTGCGCAGCACAACTGTTTTCAACAAGAAATGTTTCTTGAGCAGCAAATCAGCATATTAGAATGATTTCGGAAGATCATGTGACACTGAAGACTGGAGTAATGATGCTGAAAATTCAGCGCTGCATCACAGAAATAAATGACAGTTTAACAGATATTCACACAGAAAACAGCTGTTTTACATTGTAATAATATTTCACAATTTTTACTGCATTTTTGATCAAATAAATGCAGCCTTACTGAACATAAGGGATGCACATATATAACCATATGAATTATTACAGTTGTTGTAATTCTATTATGCTATTATATTTCCAGTCGCACCTTGATTTTCCCAGTCGTTTGGATTTCTAAAAAGCATTTGATAGAGATTACATTTATAATAACTAATTTATATAAGATGACAAATGTGAAAAATAGCCACTAACTGCTATATTTCCAGGTTTTCATGATTATTGCAGGAAACCTGGAGATGCACATACAAGCATTTTAGTGATTAAAACCTGTGACAAAAATCAATTCAGGGCAGCTATGACATTGGGTGTGCGTTCAATATTCAGTATTTCAATGATCTGCAGTTAATTATTTCCTTCTTAACTCTTTTAATTCCAGTTTCGATAAGCATCCTTTTGAATTTATGTGGCCGAAGATGGAGTTTACTGTCATGCCTGTAGGTTTGCTGTGAACTAGCTCAGGTGTTGTTTTTTGGACACATTCAGGTGTGTTTATACCTTCAGGGCTTTCTGCGCGGCTTCGCTGGATCCTATGGCGATGAGACCTGGTCCGGCCATGCTGCAGAAACTCTTCAGATGCAGTGCGTCCTGAACGGGAACCGTGGACACGGCGTAGTCCTGTAAAACAGAGTCCGGTCGGGACACACATCAGCACAAAAGCATTTTGGCTCCGACTGGAGAAACATTCGCTCATAAAAACAGAATGAAAATATTGTGTACTCCGAATAAACTACAAGCGCATTGGCTCAGCGGGTAAACAAAGGGGAAAAAACGGTTCGCTTATTGGAAAAAGACACCTAAAGCACTCCAGACCTTGGAAAGAGGAGAAAATGCGCTCAGAGATTCTTGAGGAGAGAACAAGGCAATGTTTTTGTTGAAAGTATGGGTGTATTTACAAACACTGCTGTCTGTTGTACTATGAACATGTTCGATAAAGCAGCTCTGCTTTCACTTTAGCGACCCGGGTGACTTTGTGCTGGTTAAGAGTTTCCATAAACATTCGGCATGTGAACGATAAGGAGCTGCAGGCATCCTCAAGCTCGTTTGCCGCTCGTTACGAACTAGTGACGTTAGAAGCATCTGTGACATTAGCAAAGAATGTTCCCTTCTTACGACCGGCGTTTGATTTTCATTCAGAAATCAAAGCCTGCGGCTGACGTGGTTCTCTGTCTGCGGAAGCAGCGCTGCAGAAGATAAACATCCTCAACGGAGCTTAACTTGATCCACATTAAACACTGAGAGACTGAGAATGAAGACAAGACAGACAGACAGAACAATGTATAGACAGATATATAGACAAACAGATGGACAGACAGATATATAGACAGATGGATAGACAGACAGACAGATGGATAGACAGATATACAGACTGATGTAAAGACAGACAGATAGATAGACGTATAGATAAATACATAGACAAACAGATGGACAGACAGATAGAGAGATAAATAGACAGACAGATGGACAGACAAATATATAGACAGATGGATAGAGATACAGACAGTCAGATGGACAGACAAATATATAGACAGACGGATATAGAGATATATAGACAGACAGATATATAGACAGACAGATAGAGAGATATATAGACAAACAGATGGACAGACAGATATATAGACAGATGGATAGACAGACAGACAGATGGATACACAGAGTGCAGACCAATGTATTGACAGATATATAGACAAAGAGATTGACAGACATATATATATAGACAGATGGATAGAGAGATATATAGACAGACAGGCAGATGGATAGACAGATATACAGACCGATGTATAGACAAATACATAGACAAACAGATGGACAGACAGATATATAGACAGACAGATAGAGCGATATATAGACAGACAGACAGACACACACACACACAGACAGAACAATGTATAGATAAGATATATAGACAAACAGATTGACAGACAGCTATATAGACAGATGGATAGAGAGATATATAGACAGACAGGCAGATGGATAGACAGATATACAGACCGATGTATAGACAAATACATAGACAAACAGATGGACAGACAGATAGAGAGATATATAGACAGACAGATGGACAGACAGATATATAGACAGATGGATAGACAGATATATAGACAGACAGATAGAGAGATATACAGACAGACACATGGACAGACAGATAGAGAGATATATAGACAGACAGATGGACAGACAGATATATAGACAGATGGACAGACAGATATATAGACAGACAGGCAGATGGATAGACAGATATACAGACTGATGTATAGACAAATACATAGACAAACAGATGGACAGACAGATATATAGACAGACAGACAGATAGAGAGATATATAGACAAACAGATGGACAGACAGATATATAGACAGACAGACAGATAGAGAGATATATAGACAAACAGATGGACAGACAGATATATAGACAGACAGACAGATAGAGAGATATATAGACAAACAGATGGACAGACAGACAGACAGATGGACAGACAAATATATAGACAGACGGATAGAGAGATATATAGACAGACAGATGGACAGACAAATATATAGACAGATGGATAGACAGATATATAGACAGACAGATGGACAGACAGATATATAGGCAAACAGATGGACAGACAAATATATAGACAGATGGATAGACAGATATATAGACAGACAGATGGACAGACAGATATATAGGCAAACAGATGGACAGACAAATATATAGACAGATGGATAGACAGATATATAGACAGACAGGCAGACGGATAGAGAGATATACAGACCGATGCATAGACAGATATATAGACAAACAGATGGAAAGACAGATATATAGGCAGATATGATATCAAACACCACTGCCTCTTTTCGTTTTCATTAAACCTAGGCTATTAAAACACTCTAAAAGATGCTGGGTTATTTTTTTAACCCAAATGCTGGGTTCAGCCTGTTGGGTCATTTTATTGGGTTGTTTTTAATAGTTTTACCCAGGTGCTAGGTCATTTTAACGCTGGGTTATTTTTTTCTACCTAACCGCTGGGTTGACCCTGTCTCCGGTGAAACTTCTCAACAACGCAGCTGCTGAGAGCACGGGCCTTTTAAGTCCACAGGAGAGAGCAGTTCTCAGCGCCACCGCTGCCGATTTGGTGCACTCTTTCCAGGAAATAAAGGTTTGTATACATTTTATTTCATTTATGAAGTCTTCAATGTGGTGAAAATTGTATTATTTTAAGCAGCGCAACAGAAGGACGTGATGTCAGTCAGCAGAGGTCGTTTCGCGCTGGAAATGCCTTTGCCTTGCATAACATAAATGGATTTTATCCGTTATAATACTGAGTGTAATTTAATTTGATGTTAAAATACGTTCTCTAATCTCAGTATTGTTTGTGTATGGGCAGGTTTTGGAGTCAGTCGCGGCATCTCTCAGCTATGAGTGAAACGCGAGGCCGCGGTCTAAAGTTCACAGTTCCCCGGCGAACAGCAGCCCTTCACCAGCTCAGATTTCGGCGACACGCCGGCACGAGAATTAGCACTATTTCGGTAAAAAGTGATTACAGAGAACGGTTGAATACACTTAAATTAAAATGCTACTTTTAAATGTGCCTTTTTATTTCTAAAATCCTTGTTAAACGAGTTTAAATGTATGTAATATTGTAAACTATGCTGTATTAATATTCAACTTTATTTCCAGACTCAAGGTCCATTAACAAGAAACACACAATACAAACCAAAACAATACAAATTTAAAAAGACAGTTATACCAATACTTCCTCATAGAGGACTGATATCGCACTTCAGTAAGCTTAGGATTTGACAACAACATTATAATATTATTATGTGAATCGTGCAGCCGACAAATACATTTATACATCAAATTTCTCATTAAAGCAGAGAATGATTGTACTCTTGCCTTACAGAATAAATCACTATTGCACTGCTCCATCTTGGTTTTTTCAGCAGGATTCTCATACAGTCATTGTACGCAACCTGAAGCTTACATAGGCTCTCTTTCTTAAACTTAACCCACAAAGGAGCAGTATAAAAAGAAGAACAATATGCTCTAAAAAGGTTTATCTTTACCTGATCTGAACGCTCTAAAAAGGTTTATCTTTACCTGATCTGAACACATCTTTAACTTGGAGTCTGAGTCAAGTCTAGAGTCTTTGGTCACGAGTCATTTAATGGCTTGCTAAAAAAATCCCATTCATAAGGCTATAGACATATGATCTATATCACAAAAGGCTGTAACATGGGAAATGTCATTACAATTCACATCTGTACACATGATTGCATCTCTGGGTAATACCACCTCATTTTTTTGTCTTGTATTTTGTCCATGGGTGTTCTTGCTTAAAAATAAATGTTCATCTTGTGATTATTGCTGTTGCCTAGAATAATTCTGCGTGTGATTTTTAATTTCCAGCCCATTTTAAGCCAGCAATATAATTTTTAAACAATAGATGATTTGTTGTTGCATGTTTGGTAAAAACGTTTAACCCAACCAGCTGGGTCAAAATAACCCAGCATGTGTTCTGTCAATATTTACCCAGCGCTGGGTTGCCAAATAACCCAAGTTGGGTTGTTTTTAACCCAGCATTTTTTTTAGAGTGCATAGACAGACAGATGGATAGACAGCTATATAGACAGACAGATAGCTGTCTATCCATTTTTCTATCTATATAGACAGACAGACAGACAAACAGATGGATAGACAGATATATAGACAGACAGATAAATAGAAAAATGGATAGACAGCTATATAGACAGACAGACAGATAAACAGATGGATAGACAGGTATATAGACAGACAGACAGACAGACAGACAGACAAATAGATAGACAGACAGACAGACAGACAGACAGACAGACAGACAGACAGACAGACAGACAGACAGACAGACAGACAGACAGACAGACAGACAGACAGACAGACAGACAGACAGACAGACAGACAGACAGACAGACAGACAGACAGACAAATAGATAGACAGACAGACAAACAGATGGATAGACAGCTATATAGACAGACAGACAGACAAAAAGATGGATAGACAGCTATATAGACAGACAGACAGACAAACATGAATAGACAGCTATATAGACAGACAGACAGACAAACAGATGGATAGACAGTTATATAGACAGACAGACAGACAAATAGATAGATAGATGGATAGACAGCTATATAGACAGACAGACAGACAAAAAGATGGATAGACAGCTATATAGACAGACAGACAGACAAACATA